CGAAGGGGCTTCTCATTGCGCCTTTGGCCTGACGTGTCAACCCCACCCCCGCCCCAGGCCACCTTCCTGAAGCTGGCTGGCCCCCAGCTGGTGCAGATGTTCATTGGGGATGGTGCCAAGCTAGTCCGGGATGCCTTTGCCCTGGCCAAGGAGAAAGCTCCATCCATCATCTTCATCGATGAGCTGGATGCCATCGGCACCAAGCGGTAAGGGGGTGCTGAGTGCCACCAAGGGGATTGTTGTCAATTCCAGCTCTCCCACCCTGTTCCCTACTCCCCGTGGGATGGTGGAGGCTCTGTTCTTGTGGTTGTACTTCTTAAATTCTCTTCTATGTAGCCTCCCTGCTTCGTTTCTTTTCCCCTGACCATCCTTTCTCCTCACAGCTACCAGCATGTTCCTTTCAAAACTTCACTCAGCAGCACCCACAGTCCCTCAACGCAAACAGATCCTGCTTTTCCTTCCTGGCCCTCCCCGTTGCTTCTTGGGATAAATGCTGGGCTTGCCGTGGCCTGCAAGGCCCCCGTGTGGCTGCCCCTGCTCCCCTCCAGCTTCATCCTGTCCCTGCCTTCCCCTTCCCTCTGGACTCCCTCCACAATGTCCCCTCAGTTTGCAGGCCCAGTCTGGTGGGAGAGATTTTGCACCTGCTGTTTCCTCTCTGGAATGTGCTTTTCTTTTTCCCCTGTTCTCCACTGGCTGGTTGCCCAGCCGATGTGTTTTCAGCCTTAAGATCTCAGCCTGAGGGGACACTTCCTCAGGGACGCTTGCCTGGGCTCCCTGTCACGTGCCAAGTCTGGGCCAGACCTTTGTATTTCTAAGTTTTAGCTCAGATATGATGACACATTCATTAGGGGCATAGGCCAGGCAGTGGATTTCGCTCACTGTTTTATCTTAAGCCCAGCACCTGATCCCAGGAGCTTCTCCAGTCCCTGACACCATTTCTGTGCTGGTCCCTGGGCTGGGGGCCCCAAGTTGAGTGAGACTTTTCCCTGCCCTGGATGGGTTGGGTTGGGCTTCTGGTGGTAGAGGAGAGGAGGGCTCTCCCTGAGCTGTGTCCTCACCGGTGTGTTGGACCTCCTGTGTGCCCCAGCTTTGACAGCGAGAAGGCCGGGGACCGGGAGGTGCAGAGGACGATGCTGGAGCTTCTGAACCAGCTGGACGGGTTCCAGCCGAACACCCAAGTGAAGGTGAGTATTGTCACTTCACAGGTGAAGAACGTGGGGCTTAGAGGTCAGGGGATCTTCTCTGTCATCTAGCTGATGGAGCTAGAATTAGAATTGGGGTCGGTGTTGAATATTCCCTGCCGTTTCATATGGACCCTGAGCTACCTCTTTGCCCGTCGTGGCCATGACTGTTGCCTGTCTGTGAACGCTTCAAGTTTCTGCTTCTCCTGTTGCTCAGGTAATTGCAGCCACTAACAGGGTGGACATCCTGGACCCTGCCCTGCTCCGCTCAGGCCGCCTGGACCGCAAGATCGAGTTCCCGATGCCCAACGAGGAGGCCCGGGCCAGAATCATGCAGATCCACTCCCGAAAGATGAATGTCAGGTGGGCAAAGGCACGAGCAAGGCGCTGAGACCTGAAGGGGCAGCAGCAGAGCTGTCTCTGTCCTCTTTGTACTGACCTTCCCCAGGTCTAGCTTCTCCCCCTCTCCATGTCCCTTTCACACCGAGCACTGTTCCACACGCTGGCCTCCATTTCTCCCCAGGTGCCCGACAGAGAATCGTGCTGGGGCCCAGGCCCCAACTGAAGGTGCTCTGCTCCTTCGGGTCCACCTGCACACCCCCCCCCCACAGCCCTCCCCCATGGTCGGAAGGTGTGCAGGCTGGAGGCCCTGTTTCCTGGCCACCCCTGCCCCAGCAGATGAACGCAGCCCAGCATGGCCCAGGGCAATCCTGCCAGGGGCCAGGTGGACCTGGGTTCAGATCTGTGTGACCATCAGCAGGTGGCGTGACCTCTCTAAGCCTCAGTTTTCTTATCTGGGACTTGGGGATAAGGGCTCCGACCTCACGGGGTTGCGGCAGTGTCAAGTGCAGTACTTGGCGCATGAGATCAGTAAGTGGCAGCAGCAGTGCTGTGCTGACGCAGGGCCCGCGCTGCTTGGGAGACAGAGAGATGGCTCTTCTGTCTCCACAACCTCCTGTTCCCCTGCCTCAGGCTGAATTCCCAGGTCTCAGGTGCAGACTTCTAGAATGCTAGGGCTCAGGAGACACTGGAGTAACTTGGTCTAATCTGCTTTGACCTACCTCCGTTCCTCTCCCCCTCGTGTGGAGAAGAGAACGAGACACAGTGGGGAAGGGAGTCGCCCGTGATGGCGGCGAGTTGACCTCGCTGCTTGACGGAGGCACGTGGGAGGACATGGGCTCCCCCACCCACTCCCGTAAGTGGCTGAACCCTGTGATACCTCCCCACCTCCCAGCCCTGACGTGAACTACGAGGAGCTGGCCCGCTGTACAGACGACTTCAACGGGGCCCAGTGCAAGGCCGTGTGTGTGGAGGCGGTGAGTGGTGGGCCGAGCGGCTGGGCGCTTCGTGCCTCCTCCCCTGGGCAGGCTGCTGGGGGCTGCTGAGGGGAAGAGGCTGAGAAGGTGGAGGCCTCTGGGAGCCGGGCTGGGGGTCTGGGGAGGCACCCTAGAGCCTGTCTGTCCTGGCTGCAGGGCATGATCGCGCTGCGCAGGGGCGCCACAGAGCTCACCCACGAGGACTACATGGAGGGCATCCTGGAGGTACAGGCCAAGAAGAAAGCCAACCTGCAGTACTACGCCTAAGGGGTCGCCTGCCACACCTGTTCTCTGGCCTCTTGCTGGTTAAAATTCGTAATAAAGGATGGTTTCAGGTTCCTGCCACCACCTGTCTGGCTTGCCTTCCCTGGGCTCTGGGTAGAGGAGTGGGGGCAGATACAGGAGGCCCCTTCCCCAGGTGCTCCTACCCGAGACAGCCGAGGGCCTCAAACGCCTTGTCGGGGTGAGGCCCTCTTGGAGGGGTGGGCGTGTGCCACAGCTGTTCCCCGGGGTCTTCTGCCTCCCCCATCATGTCCCTCCAGACCGCTCTCTCCGCACTCCCTGACCCGCCTCTCTGAGCTTTTGAGGCCTGTGGTGCTGCAGCTCTAGTATGAGGGGCCTGAAGGGAAGCCAGACTAGTTTTTCCTTCTTTTTTGAATTTTGGTGCTCTGACCCTAGGCCTCGCTTCCTTATAAAGCCCTGGCTCTGGGTCTTTGCTCCCTTGTTTCCTGGCCCCCAAGCCTCCTGTTTCTCTACACGTTCCTTTTAGCTGTTGGCCCGTTTCCTCTGGCTGAAAAATCAGTGTTGAGCAGGATCTACTCCGAGAGCCCTTCTAGGCCTAAGCGTGGTCATGCTGTGTTCTCTCCCACCCCCAGTTCTGCCGTCAGCCCCACATCCCGTCAGCTTCCTTTACCATCTTGGTGGTCCTCTTCTGTCTACCAGCCTTCCAGCTCCCCGACCTGGAACCTGACCTCGTGGTTCACCGTTCACTGAGCGCGCACCCTGAGCCATGTGCTATGCAGGTCGTGTGCATGGTTTTATCTCGTTAATCACAGCAACTACCAATAGGGTAGCCCCGCTTTATAGATGCATTTCGAGCAACTGGGCCAGGATTGCACAACTCTTAGATGGCATTGCTAGGCTTCAAACCCAGGAGTAAGAATAAAGCCTAGTTTATGTTGTGCTGTCTTAGCAGCTTTAACCACCCCCTGAATGGCCTTTCAAAGCAGCAGCCCTTTAGAACTCTCCATCAGCTCTCACTTGCCCCCTGGCAGAAGCCCTTTACCCTCCTTTTCCCATCACCTCCCCTGAAGGGACATGCCCACAGTCACAGAGCTACTGACTGCCGGCCTGTCTGGAGTTCCCCTCTCTCTAGTCCCACCGCCTCCAAGCCGCCATCCTGAGTGTCAGGGTGCACCCCCATTGCGCTCTCCTTGGTGATCCCACTGACTTCCCATCCCCCGGAGGAGCCCCAGCACAGCCTCGGAAGTGCTCTTGTTCTGGCCCTGTCCTGGGCTTAGCTGCCCCCACTCCTGCATCTCTCACCCCGACCCCCCGCGCCCACCTGCGTGAAGCTGCGAGCACCACCCTCACCCCTGACCTTGGGGTCCTCATTTATAAATGGGGCCCCACTGCCTCCTTCAGCGGGCAGAGTGCCATGACTGCACGTGCAACTGTCACCCGACACACGAGGAGCCCCAGGGCCTGCTCACGGGAGGCGGGGACTGCCAGGACAGCCCTGGGTTCCTTCCTCGCTTCTGTCAGGCCACCAGGTCCTGGGCGTGTCACAGTCAGGTGAAGCAGAGCCCTTTTTGCTGGAAATACTGAGTCAGGCGCTCCCAGCTGAGGATACAGCCCATCCGGGCTTCGCAGCCTCCGTGATGTGGCGCGGACGCGCTGTCCGCCAACGGCCTGCTGAAGGTAGGAGAGGAAGTGGGACTCCACTTCCCCCTTCTGCTCTCTCCTAGCAGCACTGGGGAAGCAGCTCCCCCTGGGCCTGATGCTGTCTTCATTCTTAGCATATTCACTGGTGGTGAGGGTATGGTTTAGAATAAAGATCTCATTTTTTCCTTTTCTTTTTAATGAAAAATAACATTTCATAGAGGCCAAACCTGGAGCTGACTTTGTGGATGGAGCTCCCTTCCGCGGTTAAAATTACTTAGGGGGCAGGCCAGGAAAAAGCCCTTGGTTCGTAGGTCTATGAGGACACCACCCTTGGGGGTGACGCGGGCTATAATGGCCTAGAGCCAGGCTTGTTTTATTGGCATAAAAAGCTAACAACAAAATAAACAAGGGAAACATGAAATGTATACCCTGTTGTGAGAAGCACCCCAAAAGTAACAGCTCAGAGACGAAGCAGGAGGCCCAGAGGGCGGGGATGACGGTGGAGACCAGCTGGGCAGCCTGCGGGAGCTGGGCCCGCAGAGCAGCCAAACTGGCCGGAGCACGGGGTGGCCGGAAAAGCCCTGCTTGACCATGGGCTCTGGTATGCAGAACAGAGGCAGCCGGTTTGTGTATATTTATTTGCATCTCATCTATAGAACAGGTATTTACAGATACAAATGGAACCACAGCAAAACTGCCGTAAAACCATTCAGACCCTCTTGATGGCTACTTCTCAAGACGCCCACGGTCAAGTAGCAGGGCTGGAGCCTGGCTGTGGAGTGGGCCAGCTGAGTACCTGGGCGTCAGCCAAGGGAAATAGCTGGGGATTATGGCTTCAGCATCCCCAGAGCACATTCCTGAGTGCTGACAATGTGGAGCCCTCGCCACCCCCGCCTAGCCCCACCCACAGTGGGACAGGAAAAGGGGTCCGAGCCAGGGGCGGGGGTCGGGGGTGGGGGTGGTGGCAGCCACCGCTCCCTCTCTTCCTGCCCTCCGAGTGTCTGCCTGGACCCTGTGCTGGCACGAGCATCCCTGAGCCAACTGGGAAGCCTCTGGCCCGGGGCTGCTCGCTGCCCTGCTGGCTGCTGTTTGGCAGCTGGAGGTGGCAGAGCCGCTGGCGTTGCCAGGGAGCATTCCCTGGGGGAACAGAAGCTGGGCCAGGGCAAGCAGCCACGGGGAAAAGGTCTTAGAAAGCATCTCCCGGCTCCATGCTGGGAGGGGTAGGACTGTCAGTGCTGAGTGGCGCTGGGGGCTACATGAGCACCTGCCTCTCCTTTCTTTGGCCTTGGAGCTGGTGAAGGAAGGGCCAGAACACTGGACACAGCAGAGAGGAGGTGCCCCAGCCTCAGTTCCTGGCTGCCCAGGGCTGCGTGCCCATGTGCAGAGGTTCACTCCCTCAGGCCAGGGACCCATGAGGCCCCAGCAGGAGACAGCTCTGGGACTCCCTGCAGCCCTGGGCTCCTTGGGCTGCTCCCACTCCTCCTGGCGTCCTGGTGGGCAGAGGCCTCTGCTTGGGACCAGTGTTCCTGTTCCTCACTGCTGACTCCAGGGGGTGCAAGGTGACAGGGGGCCAAGGAGAGAAGACCGCAGTGTGGCTGGGGGCAGGCGTGGGCATCGGGCCCTGGGCCCAGCACACAAGGGATCACAGTGTCGGTCTTGCACACAGTCACATGCACACCACACACACCCCGTCCTCTTGTCAGTTCGGAGGACTCGCTCACTCTGCCTCACACACACACACACGGTCACAGAGTCGATCTGAGTCTATTATTGCTGTGCAGGGGGTGGGGCGTCAGGGACAGTTACTCGACGAAGACCGAGAACAGCACCATCACCACAATGCCCGTGCAGAGCAGAAGCACTTGCTGCAGGGAGCGCCTGTGGGGAGAGGGGCAGGGGCTCAGGGGGTGGCACTGGCCGAGACGCCGGGGGCAGAGGCCCTGCGAATGGCAGTGCCAGTGGGTAGCTCACCATGGGTCATCTTCCTCCAAGAGGTCGGGCAGCACGTTCACCAGGGCGATGTAGAGAAAGCCGCCAGAGGTGAAGGGCAGGATCCAGGCCACAGTCTCCTCTGCAGCAGGAGAAGCCCTGACTGGCTGGGAGTCCAGGGGAGCCATGTGTACTACACTCCCTCCCGCGGGGTGGATGGGGGGCAGAATCTGGCCTGGACACCAGGGTCAGGGCAGCTGTGCCCTTTGGCTGGGGCCCCTCTGCTGACCGCCACCACCCACCACGCCCGTACCTACTCCCTTGGGGGACTGAGTACAGATGGCGAAGCAGGCGCCCAGCAGGCCCCCCAAGGCCGTCGAGAGCTGCAGCTTGGCTGCGCTCCATCGGTCAAAGCCGGCCCGGAGCAGGATGGCAAAGTCGCCCACCTGAGGGGAGGTCCAGACGATCACTCTGGGCCCCAGTGGGGCCAGATCCCCTGAGCATCTCAGGCATGGACACACACAACGAGCCCCCTGCACCCGCCCTGTAGCTGGGCCCACCCCGTGCCCCAGCCCGCATCCCCTCGGCAGGGCCCCCCGTCCTGAGGATGCTGGAGCACAGCTGAAACGGTGGCTGCAGCCTAGCAGGCTGAGCAGCTCCAGGCCTCTGTGGTCCAGCCGCCCAAGCCCACCATTGCTGGGTAGTCCCACCCCGAATCCCTGCCCCCAGCTCCACACCCACATGGCCGATCACGGGAACCCTCTGGCACTCACCTCATGGGGGATCTCATGCAGGAGGATGGCCATGGTGGTCAGGAGCCCGATCTGCAGGGAGGGGAGGGAGTCTGCGGGGTCTGTGCCGAGGGCTAGGGCCCCCGCTTGTCCGCTCATTCTACAAACATTTACTCTGCTCTGGGTGCCCTGGCTGGGTACCATCTGGCTGCTAGAAATATCGCAGCAAATAAAACAGACAAGGAACCTGCCCCCAAGAAGCTAACAGCCTGGAGTGGAGAGGCAAGGATTGAGTAAACAGACAAAGAACCATGTGATTACACACCATGACAGGTGCTATGGGGAAAGGATGGACTGGGTGCCATGGGACATGATGGGCCTAACTGAGATGAGGGGTCAGCAAAGGCCTCCTTGAGAGCGTGCAGTTCAAGCTGAAGCCTGAAGGATGAGGGGCTGGCAGTTCAGAGGGGAAGAAAGAACATTCCAAGCAGAGGCAACAGTGAGTTGGAGGCTACCAGAGGGGACAGAGGTTGGCCAGTTCAAGAGTAGGCAGACCCTGGGGCCAAAGCGCAGAGGGCAGAGGGAGGAGGTGGGTGGGGAGAAGCATCTAGAAGCAGGCAGGGGCCAAGCATAGCAGCCTGGCAGAGGACTGTGATCCCAACAAGGAGTGTTCGCAGCAAGAAAAGACCAGTCGGTGGTGGAGACAGAAGGAGGCCGTGTCCAGGAGAGCAGCAGGGAGGCGTGGATGAGGGTGCTGTGATGGAGGGAGCAAGGAGATGCCTGGGGACCTATTCTGGAGGCGGAGCCCACTGGTTAACGCAGGCACCACCCTTCCCACCGAAGGGCCTGGGTCCCACTGCCCCAGCCCCACTCACCTTCTTGCTCACAAGGAAGCTGGCAGCCACAGCCAGCCCGTGGGTGAAGTTGTCTATGGTGTTGGCCAGCAGGTTGAGATAGCCACTGACCTGGGCGAGGGGAGAGAAAGCTGGGTTGAACCGGGCAGGCAGGGCTGAGTTGGGCCGGCCACTTGGGGTGGGGCGGCTGCAGGAGGAGGGGGCCCTGGGCGGGCCACTCACTTTGATGTTCCGGACCACGGCGCTCAGGCCGGGCCCTGCAGCTGGCTGGGCCAGATGGTGGCCTCCACTGAGCGCGGCCGCAGCTGCAGGGTCTTTGCTGGGGGCCTAGGGCCAGGAGAAGGAGGGAGACGTGACATTAGATGCCCCCCACTCGGCCAGGGTGGACAGAAAGGGAGTGGAAGATGGAGAAGAGCTAAAAAGGGAACACCCCTTTTACCTGGCCGGGCTCTGCTGCCCAGTCAGCCGGGCGCCCCCAGACCCAGCAGGCCCTCTGCCTCCCGCACTGCTCTCACTGAGAACAGGCCACGGCGGGGGCTGATGCCCAGGTCCTTCCAAACAAGCCGGCCCAGCCTCCTGGAGCTCCCAGGAGAGGGCCGAGAGACCCTCTTTTCAGGGCTTGGCTCAGAACTTGGGCCTCCAGGCCCTGGCACCACCACAGAGCAGAGGCTGACCTGTGTAGCCTCTGGGGTTTGGGGCTCACCTGGCTAGTCTCCTCCTCCTTGCTGTCCAAGAACATCTTCTCCAGCGCCAGGAAGGTCAGGAAGCCAGCAATGACCCACAGTCCCAGTTGCTGTTGCTGCTGCAGGCTCTGCCCCTCACCACCTGCAGGGGGCAGCACTGACACACCAGGCCAAGCCAGGGCATAGAAGGGGGGCTACTTGGGATGGGACCTAGTCCAGGGCAGTGACAGGGGCAGGGTGCCAGGACTGGCTGGTGGGGCAGTTGGGCCCCAGGAACTCCCATAGGGACCAGGGCACTGGGACCAGGACAAGTTCCCCGCCAGACGTCCAGAACCCCCTCACAGTCATTCTGCAGAGCAGGCAGGGCCTAGGCCATCCCTGGGCCTGGGCACCAGTTCCCACCTACCGCCTGCCACCCTCCTGCCCCCGGCCTGTGGTCTCACTCACCAGGGCTGGCACTGTACGTGTAGGCCCACGCCTCGGGCAGCAGGTGGAGAAACACATTGCCCAGGAGTCCCCCCAAGGCAAAGCTGAGCAGCTGCTTCAGGCGCCGGGCCCCAGCTACAAGGCAGAGATGTGGGACCTGGGAACTGGGGCACCAGAGCCCCTGGCCTGACCTCTGCCCCACCCAGCTTACTGGGCTCCTAGTGTGGTCCCAACCAGACTGCAAGTCTCCAGAAGGCTGGACATGGGCTGCTGGCCTTCCTGGGTCCCCAACCCTTCAGTCCCAGTAAGGGCTGGTGCCCAGCAGGAATACACCACGACCTGCGGGCCGACTGTGGAGCCACTACTGCTTCGGGGTTAAGAGACTGGGCTTGGGAGCCTGACAGGTCCCAGCTCCCCAACGCACCAGCTGGTAACCTTGGGCAGATTACTTCTGGGACTCAATTTCATAATCTGTAAACTGGGGACAATTGGATCTATCTGATAGGGATCTTGTGTGAATTAAACCAGCGGTCCCCAACCTTTGTGGCAACAGGGACCGGTTTCGTGGCAAACGATTTTCCCACGGATGGGGGTGGTAACGCGAGCGAGGGGGAGCGGCCGATGAAGCTTCGCTCGCTCGCCCACCGCTCACCTGCTGTGCGGCCCGGGGGTCGGGGACCCCTGAATTAAACAACAATACATACAGCAAGTGCTTATGAAGTGGGAGTGTTTCTCTTCTCAGCCACTGTTACTCTCAGAAAAGTGGCAGAGATGTGAGGACTTGCGCGGACGTGCAACATCCAGAGTTAGAAGTGCCCTGAGGGGGCCTTTGGTTTGATAGACAAACTGAGGCCCAGAGGAAGAGGCAGCTTGGTGGTGGGGTGGGGGTCCCAGGGGGAAGCTGCTGCTTCCAGGCTGTGTGCCCTTGGGCTCCTCCAAGAACTTCTCTGTGCCTGTGCTTCCCCATTTGTAAAATAGAGCTAATAATCCAAGTCCTCCCTAGGTGGACCTCTCAGGGATGCTATGAGAGGGGCTGAACTGATACACAGGCCAAGACAGCAGAAGAGGGCCCTGTTCACAGCTGGGGCACCGGCCCTCAGCCCAGTGCCTGGCACAGTTGCGTTCATAACCATCTGTTGAATGAACAGTTCCTGGAGCCTGGCAGGCAGCACGAGCCCCTGGGGGACCCTCATTTCAAAGATTCCCGGGGCCTGGTCCAGACCTACTGTGTCATACTCTTGGGTGGGGGTGACAGGCACCTGCATTTTTAGCAGCTCCCCATCTGATCTTCTTTAGCTTTCATTATAGCATGTCACCTATGGACACATGCGCAGCCAAGGAAAAGCCTTTGCCAGGCCTGCACCCACCTCCCAGCGCCCCTCTCCAGAGGCAGGCCAGCTACCAGCCTCTCACGTGTTCTTGGGTGAGGCCGCCCCAGGGGCTCTGGGTCTGAGCGCCCTCTTGCACTGTGAGCAGGGACTGAAGCGAGAGGCAGCGCGATGCCCAGCACTGGCTCGCGAACACGGAGCCCCGTCCCTGCACCGGGGCCGTCTCCTAAGTGCTTTGCCGACGTTAGTTCATTTAATCGTCACAATAACACCTATGAGGTAGATACTATTATTATCCTCATGTTTAAGGTTGGGAGCTTAAGGCAGAGAGAAGTTAAGGAACTTGCCCAATACCACCCAACTGGTAAGCGGCAGAGCCAAGATTTGAACCAGGCAGCCCGGCATCCGATTTCCAGCCTTGTTTCTTGCTTCACAGTGAATGTTTGCTGACTTTCATCTTTCAGAATAAACAGATGCACAAACGAACGAACAAATGAGCACGGCGCACGCTGGCTCACTGGACCAAGGTGAGGAATTGTGCTGGGTCCCCACCTTCCACCACAGACACACTGCCACTCGGGACCAGAGACCCGGCTCTCCCAGGAAGAGCAGCAGCATGTTTCCCGTGCCATTGGCTGCCCCTCGGTGCCAGAGGAGGGTCACTCACCTTCTGAGCGCAGCGTGGTCCCCATCTCCAAGGGAATGACGAGCAATGGGAAGACCCCGCTGAGCCCCACCATGAGTGAGCCCAGGAGGGAGCAGATCCACGTGTCCAGCCGCTCTCCACTCAGCAGGGCCCCCCAAGACTCACTTTCCTTATTGTCCAGGCGACAGGCCGCTGCCACCCCCCGGCTCCGGAAGGCCTGCTGGGAACCCCCAGCCCCTCCCAGGAGCTCCAGGGCAAGAGCAGCGAGGAAGAGGAGCCTCTGTCCCGCCATGCCACAACCAGGGCAGGGACATCCAGGCATGCCACGTGCTGAAAAACACAAAGGCCACTTACGTGAGCTGCCACCCTTGGCCGCACACCTGCTTAGGAAACGTGGCATCTTAACCCTCCCCCCACTCCCAGCGGCCATGGCACCTGCCCTCCTGCTTGCCTCCCCCAGGGCCTCTGAGGATCCCAATGATGGGTGCACAGAGCAAAAGGGCTCTGCTCCGCCACACCCCACTCCCAAGGAGCACACATTTTTTCCTTGGGAACCAGTTCCAGGCTGTGTGTCAGCCTGTCCGCCTGAGGCTAAACTTTCCTTAATGACAGGGTGAGGCGCTGGCTGGGTTCCCCTCAGACACCGGTAGGCCCGGCCCAGCTGGGTGTCTGGCTGCCAGGGGAGGCTTCGCTGCCAGGATGCGCCCCAGTGAGGACACCCCCAGGGATGGCGGCCAGCACAGTCTAGCTTGATGGGGCAATGTTAGGAGGTGCAGGTGGGGAAACCAAGCAGCTGAGCTAGTTCAAGACCATCAGGGCTTTTTCCTAGGAAATGAGTCCAATATCGCTGGGGCACGGAGACAGCCAGGAGGTGGGAATGAAGAGAGAGGATTCTTCAGCTAGGAGCTGCCTCACAGATGTGCAGAGCACAGGCTTTGAAGACCCGCCCTTGACTTTGTGCTCTGCATTTACAGCTGCTTGACTGCGGACAAGTTCCTAGAGCCCTTCTCTGAGCCTCAGTCTCCTTGTCTGTAGCAGGGAGATGAGTATTGCCTCCCTCACACAGTGGTGAAAATGAGATGAGCTTGCTAATTAGGTGAGTGTGCCTGGCATGGAGGAGGCACAGAGAACCCTCCTTATGTTGCGGGAGCCCAGGAGCACCAGGCAGCAAGAGTGTACCCAGCAGGCGGATCACAGGATCTGGATGTGAGTCAACCAAGACGGAAGTTCAACCTGGAAACTCAGGCATGAGGTTTAAATGTGGTCTGCCCTCCCTCATGCTGGCTGTGACCTTGAGCCAGTGATGTCCTTGCCTCAGTTTCCTCATCTGCTGATGGAGGTGGGAGGGAGGGAAAGCAGCTGGAAAAGATGCTCGGGTCTAGGACCTCCGGGCTTTAACGGGACCGATGAAACCCTCTGGGCTCCACTGGGGACCAAAGGCAGGACTGCGCCAGGCCGGACTTGGAGGCAGAGGCGGGTCAGGGGACAAGTTTGAGGAGAGGGGAGGGGACAAGTTTGGGACAGGAGAGGGGGTACCGAGAGAGTCGGAGAGCAGAGGGAAAGCAGAAGCAAGAGCGGGAGAGCCAAGAGTGAGAGAGCCAGAGACGGAGGCGGAGGGAGAGGGAGAGATGGGGAGCGACGCGTGGGGAGACAGGGGAGAAGAGCCCAAGGAAGTTTAACTCCCGGGCTCTGGGCGAGAGGCCCAGGTCTGATCTGGACAGGCCGGGTCGGGGGCAAGGGGATCGGCAGAGTCCGTCTCGTCAGGGGCTCTGGCCCTGGGGGTGCGGCGGTCACTCACCGTGCGGCGGCGACGGCGGCGGAGGCGCTCCGGACAGCCCCGGCCATCCAGCTGCGGCACAGCGCCCCGCCCCGGCTCTGCCCCGCCCGGCCTGTCCGCCCGGCCCCCGGCCCGGAGCCGCCCCCAGCGTGCGGCCACGTCACACGGGACCTGTCCGGAACCCGACGCACCGAACGCCGCGGGGTCGTGGGGAGCGGCGGTGGGAGAGCGCTTCCGCCTCGATGCCATGGGGGACCCGGGAGGCTGGCGCACTTCCGCTCGGGCGGGCCCGGGACGGCGGGGAGGGTCGGGCGGAAGTGGGGGCCCCGCGGGCGCCCAGCACAGTCCGGCTGCGCAGGGCGGAGACGGCGGCCCCGCGGTGACCGCGAGCAGTTGGGTGGCCGCGCTTGCGGGTCTGCCCGCCGTTTCCTCTCTCGGGAGGCAGTCCCAGCCGCGGCCGCACGGGGGCGCGCTTTGCTGCCAGACTGCGCCGTCCCGGGACGGGGTCTGGGTAGGAGGATGGCTGTGGCGCTCCTGCTCTGAGTCAGCCCAGCCTGGCTCCTCCATGAGCAAGGGAAAGGGGAAGTGCCTGCCGCAGGGAGGGGCCTAGCCCCGGGAACCTCAGAAGAGGGAATTTTATTCTTACTCATCGAATTATTTTTATGCTTTGGTTTTTCACTGGGAACCTCAGGCCTTTGTCTCCAGGGCTTGTAACCCTTTGGAGTCCAATGCACGGTGGCCTGACATTGCTGCTGGTAACCCCAAACCTGGGGGAGTAAAGGCTCTGTGCTTCCCTCACCTCAGACTGGGGCAGCAAACAATAGCATTATTATAACTGCAATTTACTGAGCACCTACGACGTGCCATTCACTCTGCGTGTATTGTCTCCCTGAATCCTCAGTCTATCCCATTGAGATGGATACTGTTAGCCCAGGGTCACACAATAGCACAGATGGCAGAAGCACGATTCAAACCTGGGTGTCCTTGAACCCAGAGCATGTGATAGCACTTCTCACTTATAGGGTCATGGGAACCTGCCTTGGCATTTACACTTTGCATTCTTCTCAGCCAGGACCATATAATACTCAGCAAGGGGCACTTGGGTACTCACTGGGGCAGAGATTGTGACAGGGTGGGAGTCTCCCAGCCTCTGACCCTCATCTGCCTCATGCGGTAATTCCTTCGTCCGTCCTGTGTCACTCTCCCTTACCAGGGGCTCTGAGGGCACAGGGCTCTCACAGGCTGCACCAGTTGCCCGATTCCACCTCACACTCCAACATCTGCCCTTCCTAGACCCCCAACTCCTACCAGGCGGGATCAGCTTTCCTCTGAAAGCCCCGTGTCTGCCTCACCCACCAGGCCCATAGGTCTACAGGGACGCCCTCCTGTTCTGCTCCCTGAGTTCTGAAGTGGAAGCCCTGTGCTGGTTACTTTGCAAAGGGAGGAAGACACTTAGGGATGCTGCTCAGGGATCTCTAAGGTGTGCCCCCCCATATATGCAAATCACTCCATCATATGCAAAGCACTTCACAATATACAAATGATTTCACAATAACACAGTCAGCATTCCTGCCTCTAGGAGCTGAGGGCTGCTGGCCACCAGCAAGGGGATGGGCAAGACCCAGCTAGAAACACCACTTGCTGCCTTCTCACTGCTCTTTCCTCTCACCTGGCCCGGAATTTCCACCATCAGACTCCCTAATGTACTGGGGGGTGGGGATGGGACTCTAGAGGATGACCATGAGCCGGGAGGGCCAAGTAGAAAGACAATGGGTGGACTAGTGTGTGGCTGTTAAAAACAGCGAATTAGGGGCTTCCCTGGTGGCGCAATGGTTAAGAATCCACCTGCCAATTCAGGGAACGCGGGTTCGAGCCCTGGTCCGGGAAGATCCCACGTGCTGCGGAGCAACTTAAGCCCGTGCGCCACAACTACTGAGCCCGTGTGCTGCAACAACTGAAGCCTGTGTGCTCTAGGGCCCTGCGTGCCACAATTACTGAGCCCATGCACCGCAACTACTGAAGCCTGCACACCTAGAGCCTGTGCTCTACAAGAGAAGCCACCGAAGTGAGAAGCCTGCGCACTGCAACGAAGAGTAGCCCCCGCTAACCACAACTAGAGAAAGCCCACGCACAACAACGAAGACTCAACGCAGCCATAAATAAATAAATAAATAGGTAAATAAATAAATAAAAAGAAGAGTCCTGGAGGAAAAAACAAACAAAGAAAACCAGTGAATTAGATCTGCCAGGGGCTTCCAAATATGGACGAGTGAGAAAAGAGAGATGCAGAAATTTTTTTTACTATAACCCACTAGTTTAAAATAATGACAAAAAGGAAACTTGTATAGGTACATGTGATTATAGGTATTAGCATATATAAGTCCATTTATAATTGTGAGTAAATAAAAAATATAGAAGATCTCACGTCAGCATGGTAACATGGATTCCATTGTGGGGGAGAAAAAAATATAAAAGGAAAATTTGTAAAAACATGTATATGATCATAATTTATGCAATTATGTAAAAAAGATATGTAAAAGCTTTTATATATATCATATGTAAATTAAATATATGATATATATATTAATTAACTCCCTATGCCTCAGTTTCCTCATCTGTAAAATGGATTGCTATATCAAGTAGTTGTGTAAATTGAATGAACACAGAAAACACTTAGAACAATGCCTGGTACATGGGAAGTTCTACTTAAGGATTAGATGTTATTATTATTTACATGTGTGGACACATGTGTATAAAGAAAGTATTACAGTAATGAAAAGAACAGATAAAGACACAGGGTGGGGGCCACCCCTCTCCACTCCTCGCTGAGCACAGATGAATGTTTTCCAACACATTTATCAACTAGTTTGAAGGCCTCAGGGTCTTCCTGGGTCGTGGCACTGGGCAGACAAACCACAGCAGGGCAGGGTGAGCCTGGACACTGCTTGGCTCTGCGTGGTTGGGAGGCGTCTGGGATTGGAGGGGCTGCAGACCAATTTCTCTGATCTGGTCTTTCTCAGCAACCAGGTCTCAGCCCCCTATTTCTAGAAGGTGGGACTGCTTCTGGGCCTAATGACCAGGCGACGGCTGTGAGACCAGCACAGCCTGGCGTTGGCATTGCCGATGCGCTGACAACCCTCCCCCTCCTCTGGGGGTCAAGGGCTAGAGGCTCTGGGATGGGCACATTACTTCTGCTTCCAGAGTATGGCCTTCTGTGAGAAAGCAGGCCTTCACCTTCTCAGGGCTTTCCGTGGGGGGCTGCAGGTAGACATGTAGAAGGGCATCTGAGGCTCAGGGTGCCCAAGGTCGCCCTGAGGAGGTGAGGCAGAGCTGAGTGCCCACCCAGGGCCCTGCTGCTTTTACTGTGGCCTCCAGCTCTGCCTCTCCAAACTGGACCTGCCCCTCTGGAACCCCTGACCCTAACCCTCTCTCAACTTGTTCTTCTCAGGGCAGCCTTAGCTCCCTCGTGAGTTCCTGGGGTGCTTTCTCCCCTGAATTTCCAGCCCTGGCCTGATGATGCCCCAGTGACTCCACAGCAGCCCCTTTCCCCCACCCTCAGCAACTCTTCCTTGGGCAGCCCAGCCTCACTACTTTCTGTCCAGCCTCTCTGCCTTTACAACCCCCTTTGTAACTCCCATCCTACCCGTGGCAGGCCTGGCCTGTTCGTCCCCTTCCACCGTCTCTCTCTGTCGATTGAAATCCCGCCCGTTTACAAGGCCGCTCCCTCTCTGAAGCCTTCTGGGTCTGTCCAGGCCCTCAGTGTTGTGTCTTTGGAGCCCTGAGCCCTGTACCCTGAACACAATGGGACTTCTTCACCCTCCCAACCCCCATTCCCGCTGTGGGCTTCTGGAAAGAAAGACAAGCTCTTGCCTATACCCTGAATAGAAGTCTGTCCAAATGAATTTAATATCTCCCTTTCCCCTCTCCTGCCTCAGGAGCACAAAGTGGGGTGAAATTCCTGTGCACTGTGCACAGTAATCTGAGCCTTCGCAGGGCTTTATTTAATTTATGTTTATTCATAGATTTGCTTACTTGTTACCCCTTCCCCATCCCATCTCACTGCTTCCTTCTTGGGAGAATCAGAGCGTTAACAGTCCTTTTTTTCCCCTAAGAAACATAACAGACAATATTCTGTCCAGTTTGGCCTTTCTTTTTAAATAAGGAAAAAAGCTCTTTTAAGGTTTTCTTTTACGTTATTCAGTGATGTTTACAATTGTTCTCATATAGGTCCTGCATAACTCTTAATAAGTTTACTTTTAGGTATTTTACATTTTGTGGGTATTTAAAAGAACATATTTCCCATTACGTTTTAAATGTAGTGCACAGGAAGGCAAATTATTTTTATGTATCCCTTTGATACCTGGTAAGCCAACTACATTTTCTTACTGGTTCTAATCATTTCTCAGTATTACTCTTGAGTCTTTTAGGTGGGTAATCATGTCAGCTCCTAATAACAGAAGTATGAAAAGGAAGGAACCAACATTGTTTTTTATAGAGGTATGGTTTGGCTTGGTTTTGAACTTCATAGGAAGTATCTGTCTTCTGGGACTGGCTTTTTCACTCAACGATACGGGTACTAAGATTCATTCATGATACGCGGTGAAACTGGTTCATTTGCTTGCACTACTGAACGATGTGCCACTGTGTGAGTGAATCCTCTGTAATTTATTTCCCCATTCTCTTGTCCATGGGCATTTGGGTTATTCTCTAGATTTTTGCTGTTCAGAACAGTGCAGCTTTGAATGTTCTCGTTTCTGTCTCTTGGAGCACATGCCCAAGTTTCTCTTGATTTTAAGCCTAGAGGGGGATCTGCTGGGCCTCGGCTTTATAAGATAAGGCCAGATTGTTTTCCCCAGAGGTTGTAGGGAGTTGCACTCTGACTAACAACGCACTGGAGATTCCGTGGCGCCACCTCTTCTCCAGCACTTGGTGCTGTCAGACTCGTTAATTTTTGCCCGTCAAACGGTATAAAATAGCATCTTATTGGGGCCTTCATTTGCATTTCCCTTATCACCAATGAGCTTGTGCATCCCTTACGTGTTCATTGGACAACTGTGTTTTCTTCTTCTGTAAAAAGGCCTGTTCACGTCTTTCATCTATTTTTCTGTTGGATTACTTGTTTTCTGTTTTTTCCCATGGATTTCCAAGAGTCCTTTATGTGTTTTTGATGTTTATCCATTGCGGGTTGTACGTGGCAGACGTCAGACGTCTCACATCTCCTCCAGTTTGTGGCTTGCATTTCACTTTCTCAAAGGTGTCTCCACTTCTCTCTTCCCTCCCACGCTTGGGCCTGGGACGCTAGTGCGCGTGTGTGTGGATGGGGGGGGTCATGCCCCTCAGAGCGCCGTGCAGAGCAACCCCACCGCCCCTCCTGTTCCTTGGGGCTTTAAGAGACCCTCATCTCCCTCCCAGATTTGGCTGAGGCGGCCTGGATGGGAAGCCCCTGTCTGGTCTGCTTGGGGTGGGCACGCTGCAGCAGGGAGGGCCTCGCTGCGATGGTGCCCCCCCTCTCAGGAGTTATTTATCACTTCCGGCTCCTCACCTGGGGGCCGGGCGCCTCTCTGCTCCGCTGGGCAGCAGCCTGCGGCAGCTCGGGCGCTCCCTGGGGGCGGGCGGCCTCGGGGGAGGGGCGCTCCGGGCCGGCCCCTCCGGAGGCGGAGGCGGGGGCCAGGCCTGCGGCGGGGGCTGGGATGGGGGGCGGAAGCTGCCCGAGCAGATAAGGGCCGAGGTCGGTCCTGCGGTGAGACTGTGCGGGACGCTGCGTCCGCCGAGCCCGCCCCCGCACCCTCTGGTCCCAGCTCCCCGAGCCACGGTCGGCGTAGCGGCCCCCTCCCTGCAACCCGGGGCTCGGCATCCTGGGCGTTGATCCCAGAGAGCAGTGAGAGATGGTGCTCCGGCCTGCTCGTTCCGTTCCAAACCTCAGTCATCGCAGCTGGAACATGGGGGTAGGAGTCTCCAGTTACCCCCCAGGGCCGTTAGGGATGGAACAGGTGCAGGCTGGTGAAATCCCTCTGTAGATTTGGGCCTTTTGTAAAGGATGGGTACCCTGAGTTCCTCGCATTGCCCCTGCTGTACCCGCTGACTCGCCAGGCTTCATCCCCGTTGTATAGATGGGAAATTGGGGGACTTGCCTTAAGTCACAGAGCCAGCCAGCAGGAAGCAAGTGGGGAGGGGAATGGAACTCCACAATCTGGGGGCCCTCTTTAAGAAAAAGATTACAAAATCACAAATACAAATTTGCTGAGGCCTCTCCCAGGGCCTTGGAAGAGGCCCAAGTAAGTGAGAAGCGCAAGTCCAACTTCTTGGTTTCCTGGCCTCACCCTGCAGACCCCCTGGAAGGGCTTACACGCCTCCTCCAGGAGACGGTCAGACACCAACATAGTTGCAGGGTAGGTTCAAGATAGTACAGCAGGGGCCTGGAGGAGTCCGCACTGCAGCTGGGCCCAACCCCCTGCATATGCCTAGGCAGCCCTCCGGCCAGCCCAACCCAACAGCAAGAGCAGTCAGGCATTTTGGGACTGCGCCACCGCTGGGCAGGGCCAAGCCCTTGAGCACCAGCCAGTCAAAGTTTACTTGCCACTCAGGGCCTCTGACCCTGTGGGCTGGCAGTGGTAGGGAAACTTCCTAGGAAAAAAGGAAGGGGGAACCTGCCCGAGGCAGTGTAAGTGCATCTGACTTGGAGTCACACGGGACTGAGGTTTAAGCCACTGCAAGGCCATGTGACCTTGGGAAGACTCCTTCATTTCAGTTTCTTCATCTGTAAAATGGGAGTAATAATAGTACCTACTTGTCAGCGCTGTAATGAGGCTTAAATGAGGCCATGCATGACGAAGCTTGGCTTTTAGAAGCAAATTTCCCTTCTGTGAAATCTCCAGGTCAGGAGAGGCATCTTTCTCTCCATATTAGGATTAAGTCACTTACCCAGGGGGTGGTCTCTTGATTGCAAAGTTGAGATTTAAACCCATGAATGTCTGGCAGCAATGCCCTGGTTCTAACCATCAGGGAACACTGCCCCCTTGGGCCTGTCTCCCCCGGGAGTTAAGTGCCACTGCTAGGTGTGCATGTCCAGGGCAGGGAGCCAAGGGGAGCATTTGATTCAGGAGGTTGCTCACCTTTCTGGATTTTATAATCTCTTTGCTCTCATGGGCACCTGAGGCTGGAATTTTTCTAACTCTGGCATCCTACAACCTGGACCAGGAGAAGCAGGAGACTCTGATGATGGAGACAGGGCAGGGGAGCTAGGAATAGGCCATGACCATGAGCCTGGGCAGCAGTGGCATCCAAAAGGACTCAAAGTCTTCTTCCAAACAAAGAGGCACTGCTTTGCCTCATGGTTTGCATAGGATTTCTCCTGGGTTGGTGGACAAGAGAACTTGTTCTCAGCTCAGAGCTGCCCTTCTCTAGCCAGCTGACCCCACACCAGTCACTCCTCCCCTCTGAGCCTCGGTTTCCTCGTCTGTGAAATGGGGATAAGAGTACCTGCAGCTGCGAGGATTACAATATGTTGTGTACGTAGAGTGCCTAGTAAATGTTACTAGTTGTTAAAACAGGCGGTCTGAGGATGGAAGAGGGTGTCTTGGGAGGGCAGGAAGTATGCAAGCAGAAGTGGGGAGTCCTGCCAGGGCAGGAGTTTGGGCTTCTAAGGTCTCCATCTCACAGATGGAGTGCCTTGGGGTAGGGCTGGGAACCCCAGCGCCGGTACTCTCCCAGATCAGGACAGGTCACAGTGAGGTCAGGGGCTCTGGGGGTGCAGAGAAGAGCAGGGAGCAAAGGTTCTCAAGCAGGTGAAAGGGAAAGGAGGGAGGAAGTGGGGGCTTCTGGGAGGAGACTGGAGTGGCGGTCGCTGTGTGATGCCGGCCACACAATCACCCCGAGGCCCTGTTCCATGACCTCCTTTGTCCCTCATTGCAGACTTTCAAATTAGGAATTTCCCACATGGGGAAACCGAGGCTCAGAGAGGTGAGATCACTTGCCCAGGGTCACACACTGCAGGCTCCCCAATCTGTCTGGCTCTGCAGCCTGGACTCCAACAGTCACAGCCACTTTCTTATCTCATCTGTCTGACAAGGTTGTGAGTGAAGCAGCGTGATCTCAGAGGCTCAAAGGGATCCCAGACCCTGCCGCTGTTTCCCAGGAGCCCCAAGCTCTAGGCTGGCAGCTGTGCAGGAGACATCACCAGGAGACCCGGGACAGGGGCCCAGGAGGATTCGCTCACGGTGAGAGCAGAGACCCCTGGAGTAAGGGAGCAAGCACGCCATCTCAGGAGGGTTCAAGTAGAGGCACCCTGTGTCTCCCCAGCAGCTGGGAATCTGGAGGCATGACTCATAATGGGGCCAAAGCTAGCCAAAATATTTCTGAAATTCCTTCTTTTTATCTTAAAAATTCATACAGATTTGTACCCTTTTAAATATGTGGGCTTCCCCCTCTCCTTTTCTTAAAATAAGTTTCCACTCTCAGTCTCTATCTGAGTGGACACTCCAGGAAGACGTGGTGCCTCCACTGGCTGTGTGTATCTGTTGCCTGCACCGGGGACCCCATGCCCTGGGCCTCTGGTTTGGTTTGCGAAAGTGCGGGGACAGAGTTGAGGTCAAGGCCCTGCCTGTTTTCGGTCTAGGGCCCTCCCCACCTCTGCTCCACGCTCCTGCCTCTTGCTTTGGCTCTCCCATCTCCTCTCACAGAGGTTTGTCCATCCCAGTCCAACTCTCCCACTGGGTGTTCTCAGAATGTCTCACCCCCCTCTTCATGCCCTGAGGGTCCTTGTCCGGAGGGACACTACAGCCCTCTCTGCTGGCCAGTCTGACCCTTCACCTCCCCAGAGGAGTACTCGACTTGGGGAAGTTCCATGCCCATTTGGAAGAAACGGAGGTGCAGAGTTGAGAGATGCTGGACCTCCAGGATGCACAATGAGAACGGCTGTTGGATGCCCACGGGGATCTCTGGGCAGGTGGGGTGCCTCAGCCTGGGGAGAGGGCACCAGATCTGGGCCCCAGCCAGGGATGCAGGAGGGAGGAGGGAAGGCCATGGGGTGCCGGGGGCTGCCGCCTGGCAGGTCCCTGTGCCCAGGGTAGGGAAGTTTCTTATTTCTCCTGCTCCGACTTCCCCCTTTGATTTATTATAGCCATGAAATGCTCTACTCTCTTCTCTTTTCCTTGCTGTCCCCGGGGCTGGAGGAGCACAGGCCTCCCAGTCACGGGGCCTTGGCCTTGTTGGACTCCCATCTCCTTCCAAAGGTTGAGCCTGGGGAGCCCAGAAGTGAGAGGTGAGTCAGGGCAGGCAGGGTGGGACGAGGAGGGGCCCCGACCCCCCAAAGGCTAGCCTGGGCAGGACCGCAGGGGCCGGCACAGTCTCGGTTGGGAAGGGCTGGGGCCGGGCAGAGGCTGTGGCAGGTGTGGACTTGACAGCAGACAGCTCCCTGGGGTTGTGGAGGTGGCAGGCTCTGGGCCAATGGCCTCTCAAGTCCTGGCAGGTCTGAGGGCTGCGCACAGAGTCCTCGAATGCTACCCACCAGGTCAGAGAAATGGCTTCTCTGCAACCCCTGACGCCATCTTCGGATTTAATGGTGGCCAGAGCAGGCCTGGCCCAGGTGTGTCTGGGGATGGGGCTGAGAACCCAAAGGAAGGCTTGAGGCCCCCGTGCCCAGACCTGGGGCTCCTCAAGACCACCGCTGGACCTCACCCCGTGGCCTAGTCCAGGCAGGTGAGGGCTGGAGTCTGCCTGTCCGGCCCCTTGGCGGACCTGGCGGCCAGAGCGTTCCTGGCCGCTGCTGTGCAGCGCCTGTGGTAACGGGGCTGTTGGCGTTTTGCAATGGCCGGGGGTGGGGAGGCTGCACACACATGCTTCCTGTGGTGACTGGGCGCTTCCTGTTTTCTCAGGCGCCGGACTTGCTACTGCCGATGTGGAAACAGGGGCAGCTGCAGCCCGGGTGGCTCCAGGTCGGGCGCCCCGACCCTGCCCAGAGGGGCCTAAGTGGGCCCATCACCCCAGGCCCCGACCCAGGGCAGTGGATGGCCCGAGTTAACCCCCCACTGCAGGCCCCCATCCTTCCTGTCCCCAACAGCTTCCGCCAAGAGGAAGGGGCCAGGCAGGGCTATCACTCAAGGCTGAGCAGGTGGTCCCGGAGGTCAGAGGTCCAAGGGTGGGAGCTCTGGTCTCAGCTCTGTCCTTTGCTCACTGAGTGCCTTTGGCCATCCCTGACCTGATCCAGGCCTTGATTTCCTCTTTTCTGTGGTGATCAAGGCACCCATCATCTAAAATCCCTCACCCATTTCTGCCCCAGTTCTGACCTCCCTTGATTTTTCCATCCCAACAGCCTCAGCTTTGGGGACAGGGTGAGCACTGAGGCTGGGACCCTCAGAGGGGGGCTTGGCATAGGTCTTGACAGAGAGGGGCTTGGAGAGACTGGGGAGAGGGAAAGGCACGCCAGGTGGGGGAACCAGACTTAGAAGAAGGCATGGAGGTGGGAAGGCCGGGACTGGGTTTGGGAGATGGAGTGTTGATGGGACAGACGGAGAGTGGTAGGCGACAAGGTTGATCTGGAAGGATTCAAAGCAGGAGAAAAATTTTAGGATCCTCTTTATTCCTCAAAATGTTAGGAAAGTGTCTGATACCCCCTCACATTCTTCCTCAGAAGAAAGGCAATGGGGGTGGGGGGCAGGGCCAGCCCTTCCCATCCATTCACCAAGGAGATGGGTGCCCATGTGCTGTGGTGCAAGGGCCTCAGGAGGGATCTGAACCTTTCTCCAGGTGTCAGGTGCCTGGAGTTCCACCATCAGGGCCAGGCCTTAGGATTTGGCATTGCCCTGTTCCCAAACATGTTTTGTTTTGTTTTTAAGCTGCTATTGCAAGAAGGGGAGGGGAGATGACTTGGCTTCTTGTTGAGTTTGTGGACAGCATCTGACCTCTGGAAGAAGAGTTTCTTTGCAGGAAGGCCAAGGCCTGAGCCCCCTGGGGACTGACCAGTCCACGGACCCAGTTCAGCCACACGCTTGGCCCAGGAGGTTCTGAGGTGCCCACTTCACAAGTGGCTCCTCCTAAATCTCTAGGCCTACCCATCATGGACAGCCAAGGGCTGGTTCCAGCCAAAGAGGCCGTGAGGATCCCAAGACCCTGAGGCCCAGCCTGAGGGGCCATCAGGCCAGCCTGGCCCCCACCGCCCTGTCCCCTGCCTTGGTGCCTTGGGTCAGCCTAAGTGCTGAGTTGGCGGCTCAGCAGCTACTTCTGCCCACGGAGGCCCAGTTATAAATAAGCCCGATGTGGCCAAGTCATCAAGTTCTGTCCCAGCTGCATTACCTCAGTGACCACAGGTTGGGGCTGCCCAGAACCAGGCCCACCAGAACCTGCCTGCCCAGGCCAAAGGCTGGGCCAGCCTTGATGCCTGCAGGGGTCCTCAAATCCAGGGTTGGGGTGTCTGCAGCCACTCAGACCTGGACCGCCCTGGACACAGGCCACAGAGGGGCAGGGCCCATCCCGCCTGCCCGGAGCCAGCTGCTATTTACAAACCGAAACCGGGAGAAGTGAAGCGGCTGTGGCCAAAGTGGCTCCAGGCCCCCAGCCCCCAGTCCCGCTCCATCCCCGGCAGGCCCATCCCCCCTCCTCATGGCTTCCTCTTTCCTTCCCCACACAGCTCCCCGACCTCCCACTGCCCGGCCAGGTCTCTCTGGACAACCTGCCAATACTTCATGGTGACCCCCGGCCCCATGACCACTTGCCTGGGGGGGATCCCCTTCTACTACTCACCCCCAAGACCCCATCAGTCTGGGCTCCTTGGAGCAGCCTCCTCCCACCCGGGCCCAGCCCACCGTGGCCTGCCCAAAGCACATTCCCACAGTTCTCAGTTCCCCTTCGTGGCTGGAAAAGCTCCAGCACCAATGGCCACCATGGCGCTGCCCGGCCCTGCCTGAGGGTAGCTTCTCCAGGGGACCTTGACCTTCAAGGGGGGCGCCAAGTAATCTGGGGAGCTGTGGTGGAACTTAGGGCACCTGGGGCCTTAAGGGGTCATGTTTCTGGGCAGGAGGCCCCAGCCATCACTCTCTTTGAGTTTGGTTTCGGCCCAATCATCCAGCTGGCGTGGGTCACAGGCCCTTGTGCAGGTCAGAATTGAGCTGGGACAGTCGGACACTGGGCCCGAGACCATGGCACACTCTGCTTAGGAAGTGGCAGGCAGGATGGTGCCGTAGCAGGGGCCTGTTCCAGGGAGAGACAACAGACAACATAAGTAATACTCACTTCTAATAATAGACGAACTCCCTCATGACGGTGCAGAGGATGTCAGTTCTTTCTGTCCCCCGAACAAGCCTGTCCCATTATCTCCATCATAAATGGACATGGGCTCACAGGGGAAGTCACGTGTCCCAGGCTACACAGCTAGAAAGTGTCTGGACTGAGATTCAAGATTTCCTGACATCCAGTCCCCTTCTGTCTCCGTCTGACTGCCCCTTGCTCCATCTTGTCCCTCAGTCTCCTGCCCGGGAGGACAGGAGTTTCCCAGCGCTGTGACAAGGCAGGAGCGGGGCTGGCCAGAAGCTTGAGGGGGAAGCAGGCCTTGGACACCAGATGGGGTTCGTCAGTGCCCAGTGCCGCCTTCCCTGCCCCATTCCTTGCCTCCCACTAAGTCCCAGCTGAGGCAGAGCCCTAGCCCCCCTCAGCCAGTCAGCTGGCTGCCTTTCACCTAACTTCTCTGAGCCTCAGAATCCTCTTCTGTGAATTGTCATTCCACAAACACAGAGCACCTACTCGATGCCAGCCCTAGGCTGGGTGCAAGCAATCTCTAGGACTAGGGCATGGCCCCTGTTCACAGTCTTGTGGAGAACGCAGATGAGTTACAAGATCCTGAGTACTCCAAGAGGGAAACTGCAGCTGTGAGACACCAAGAACAAGTGATGAGTGCTTCCTGGGGTGAGAGGGTGCCATTGGGGTGATAGGAAAGCGTTCCCCAACAAAAGCCGGGGGACTGGCTCTCCATGCTGAGTCACAGCCCTGTGCCTTGGCTCTGGTAGTTACCACGGTCCGAGTCAAGTGCCCTTCCTCCCTCTGGGCCCGGTAAACTCCTATCCGTCTGTCAGGACCCATGGACACACGACAGCATGACCAGGCCTGGCCTGGCCTGATGGCTCCCCACCTCCCTCTTCCCACGCAGGACCTGAGCACACCCGGAGGTCAGGCCTCCTCAGTCACTATGCCCTCACCAGCCCCACCCAGGCAGGCATCTGCTCCCGGGCTCAAGCCCCCACCGTCCTCTGCTCCGAAAAGCACCGTTTCCCTTTTCTGGGTGACCACACGCCATACACAGGGAATTTCCATCTCAGCCTGTGGAGCCTCTGATTCACTCAGGCTCACTCAGGACTCCTTCCGGGTCCGTGCCTCCTACTTCTGCACCTTGGGCTGCCCCTCACACCCACCCGGGACCCCTAGGCAGCTTCAAACTAATCTTGGCCTCCACAACCGGGAAATCAAGTCAGCCCCTCACTCACTGGCCCGCTCAGGGCCCTCCCACTGCCATCCTGTGCGCAGAGACCCCTGCTCCTGGCACACACGCTGGGGCAGCTTTGGGCTGAGAGCACAGGCTTTGGGGTAAGATAAGCCTGGTCCAACCCTGATTTTGGCCCTTTCTGCTTTGTGACCTGGAGCAGTTTAAGTATATGCTCTGAGCCCTATTTCTTATCTATAAAATTGAGGTGATTCCTGTCCCATAGCTTTGTTGTAAAGATCCAGTGTGCTGGGCCCATGATGGGAGCTCAATAATGATTACTTTTCCTTCTTTGAAAAGGCCCCCTCATTATATCACAAGGTCCCTACTCCAGCCAGACCTGGGCCCCCTTTCTCTGGCTGGCTTTCCCCTCCCGAGAGCTGGTTGCTCAGGCAGGGAGAAGGAGAGAAGTATGGGCAGAGCAAAGGAGGGCGAGATGCTGCTGTCTCAAGGCTCTCCTCTGCCAGCTTCTCGACTCCTCACATTTCTCAGTTTTTCCAAGGAGGCTTTGGAGAGCCCAGGAGGCAGGAGCTCCAAGGAGCTGAGGGCTGCAGAGCTCCTGAGCTCTCGGGGACAGGGTCGAGCCTTCCTCCTCCCGAGGGATGCCGGGTGTGCACGTCACACACGAACATCTCACGTGTGGGCTCCTCTAATTCTTACGGCCCGGTGAGGTGCATCCTGTTATTGCCCCCATTTTACAGATGAGGACACCGAGGCTCTGAGAAGTGACTTGCCCTCAGCCACGCAGCAAACAAAGGGCAGGGGTAGGATCTGAATCAAGGTCTCTGGAGCCATACTCCTAAACTCCACAAGGCTCAGTAAGCATTTGTGGAGGCCGATGAGGGAAACATGGACTAACTGAAACCCTACTGTATACAAAGGGAAGGCTCACACAGATTGTCTCTTTCTGCCCTCTGTACAATGCTGCGGTCTGGGTCTTGTTGGCCCCTCTACAGAACTGAGGCATCTGAGCTTCGGGGAGGGGAAGGAGCTTGCCCAGAGGCCACACAGCCAATCGTAAGGAAGGATCCAGGGGTACCTAGATAGAAGAGGACGGTGTCAGGGGCTTCACAGAAGAGGGGGCCTGGAGGGGGAAAGTGGCTCCTGTCCTCAGTGAGTGAGCCGGGAGTGGGGGGGTGATGCCCGTGGTGAGCAGGAGGAAGTCGCTGTGGGTGGCGGTGGGTTTGAGGTGCCGGAGGCTGAGTGATGTGGCCGGGAGGTGAGCTCCCCGTCTGCAGGTCTGGTCAGCAGGAGACAAGGGTCTGGTGCGGGGGGGCGGCAATGGGATTCGGGGCACGCAGGAGGTCAGGCCGTTCTGGAAATCTGTGCCTACTGGCCACTGGGGCTGGGGAGCAGGGGGCAGGAGCTGGCGCAGAGTGCAAGGAGGGACTCAGCAAGGCTGGGGAGAGATGGAGGTGAACAGGGAAGGGAGGATCTGGGGGGACAGCCTGGAGGAGGCGAGCCGTCAAAAATGGAGGGAGGTCTTAGGGTGTGGGAGCGGGTGGGACTGTGAGCAAAGGCCGTGAGACATTGAGAAAGAGGTTCTGGGAATGTTGAGTAGTGTCTTCTGGCTGGAGGTGGGGGTGGGGCTGGTCCACTTGGGGTGGCGGAGGGTGGAAATGCTGGCCGGACTCCTGGGTGCTGGGGGCTCCAGCACAGCCCTCAGAGCTTTGGACTTCAGCCTGTGAACAAGCCAGAGCCAAGGGCAATTTTTAGGTGGGGAAACACCCATGGGAGAATCTCGAGATAGAGGCAGCAGCGGAAGCCCATGTCCCAGGGCCACTCAGAGTGGCAGTTACCTCCCACCCCCTGGCCAGCTGTGTGTGTCCTTGGGCAGCCCCCTCTCCAGCTGAGCCACGTGACCCTTGCCATTAAAATGGCACTGATGGTAAATTCACAGGGTCATGGGAGGTGGGGTGAGTTAATGCTGGTTGACTGCATCACCTCAGCCGATGCTGGGCCTTTCGCCTTGCCTCGTCCTGGCTCGCGGCACTTGGTGAGAGCCTGCGGTGGATACCACCGGGGTCTCCAGCAGACCTGGTTTAAGCCTCGCCTGTCCCTCGATTGGCTGAATCATGGGCCCCTTCCGATCCTCGGTTTCCTCAACTGTACCACAGGGATGATAACGGCCCCAACTTCAGATCTGAATAAGAAAATGAACTCTGCAGTGGTGGTCCTGTTTTCCCGGAATCAAAACCAAATTCCACACATCACACAACATCCCCCAGTGCCCTACCTGACCAGACCCTCTCCTCCCTCACCTCCTACCACTGGCTCTTTTCACACTGGCCCCTTGCTGGTCCCCATGCCTGGAGCTCTTCTCCCAGGTGTCTGCTTGGCTGGCTCCTTCACTTGTTCCCAGGGTTTGTTCAGGTGTCCCCTTCTCCGTGAGGCCTGCCCTTCCCGCCCTCTTCACTCTGCACACGGCCCCCCCTTCCCCAGCTGGGTCATCCTCTTTCGTATAGCGTTTGCCGCCTTCTCACCTACTCTGCATATCCCCTGCCTTCCCTGCTCCAGAACAAGCCCCAGGAGGACAGGGATTTTTGTCTGTTTTGTCACCTGGCCCGTAGAGGCCCTGAGCAAATATTTGTTGGATGTCCTAATGCACTAAAGAGCCAGCACTCTGACCAGAGCTCGGGGAGCTCGGAGGGGCCCAAGGAGCCTCTCCCAGTGTCTCAACTGTGAGAGGAAGTTGCAAGACGGCCATTTCTGTACACGGGCTCAGCTTTTTTTGGTCAACTTGCCCAGCTCGTGCTCTGAGGCCTGAGTTTTCCCACACGCCCCGTCAAGCCCCATGGGGACTGGTGGCTAGGAAGCGGGGGTGAGGGGAATGCTGTTCCCTCCTTTTAGAGCTCTTTGGGCTGAGGTTGAGGGGTCTGTGTGTTGAGGGGTCATGTCCCCCATGTGAACACAGCTTCGAGGACACAGTGCCCATGTTTCCTGTTGCCCATCTACCCTGTGACTGCAATAGCACCCAGCCTACCCCATCAGCCACCCAGCCCAGCGGGGGCAAAGGGCACCTGGTGCTCCACCACCCAGGCCTGCCTGACCTCCCTGTCACTCTGCAGGGCCAGCCCTACATGGGCACCCACTCGTCCAATGGGGTGGGGAACAACACTGTCATGCGCTGCTGGTAGGAGGGTAAAGTCGATACAACTTTTATCCAGGGCAACGTGACAATATCTCTATATTTATCTACCTATCTACTTAAAAGTTTCAAATGCCGTACAGGACTTCCCTGGTGGCACAGTGGTTAAGAATCCGCCTGTCAATGCGGGGGACATGGGTTCGAGCCCTGGTCCGGGAAGATCCCACATGCTGCGGAGCAGCTAAGCCCGTGCGCCACAACTACTGAGCCTGCGAGCCACAACTACTGAAGCCCGTGCGCCTAGAGCCCGTGCTTGGCAACAGGAGAAGCCACCGCCATGAGAAGCCCGTGCACCGGAACGAAGAGTAGCCCCTGCTCGCCGAAACTAGAGAAAGCCTGAGTGCAGCAATGAAGACCCAGTGCAGCCAAAAATAAATAAATAAAAATTTTAAAATGCAGTATACAAAACTAATACAGTATTATATGCCATTTATACCTCAATTTTTAAAAATATGTCTCCTTTGACATTAAAAGAGGTGAGTCAAAAATTTCTGTGACCCGGCTCAGCCAAATAAATAAATAATTTTAAAAATTCTGTGTATACTTCAATAAAAAAATTAAAATTTTTAAATTAAAAAAGTTTCCTGCACCTACATTAGAGCATCTAAATAATTATCTGGTCTCTTTCCCAATGAGTTAAGATCGAAAGCTATGCCATTTTTTTTTTCTCTGTGTATTTGTGCTTTTTTTGAATTTTATTTATTTTTTTTTTATACAGCACGTTCTTATTAGTTATCTATTTTATACATATTGGTGTATATATGTCAATCCCAATCTCCCAATTCATCCGCCATTCTCCATATTACTTATAATTGAAGAACTTTTTATTTCTGTTTTAGGTAACTTCTGATCCTATTTATTAGTGTCTACAGGGAGGTGCACAAGGGTTTTTGACTCAGCCTGCATTTGGTTGTGGTGGTTTTCTTTTCACTATCACTCTCTTAATAGTCAAAATTAGACTTGGAAAATTAAATATAGAGAAAGAATTTATAACATTTTACTTTCTTTCCCTTTGAACATTTACTTCTGCAGAAGTAGGACTTTCTCCTACATAGTTTTCATTTAAGGCGGAAAAATATATTTTGTTCTTTACTGTTGAAGGATGTTTTTTAGAAGCAAGCAAACGTGAAAGCATGAGAACCGCCACCTGGAGCCAGCACTACAGTCCATCCAGCCCAGCAAACGACCTTTAACTCAAATCTTCCCCCAACTATTCCAGTGGACACTCCCCTCTAGTGTCCCTGGAAAAAAAAAAAAACACAAAACCACTGCCCTTTGACCCAGTATTTCAACTTTGGGGAATTTATCCTAGACATACACTTGCATATGTGTAAGTTAACAAATTTTATCTATTGCAGTATTATTTGTAATAGCAAAAGACTGGAAACAACCTGAATCTCCATCAGTAAGAGACTGGTTAAGTAACTTTTTAAACAATGGAATACTATACAGCAATGAAAACAGACCGTGGCTACATGCAACAACATAGTGAGAAAGAAGAAGTGGGATACAAAAGAACATTCACACTATGATTCTCTTTGTATAAAGATTAAAATCTGTTAAGGTAAAAACTAAACTATATTGTTAGAGGTGTTTACATAAGTTGGAAAACTATACAGAAAATGAGGACATAATTACTGAAAAAGTTAAGATAGTGTTACTTCTAGAGAGAGAGAAGGGATTTGGGGGATACTTCTGTAGTGCTGACAACGTTTTATTTTTTGACCTGGTTGGTGGTTACATAAGTGTTCACTTTATAATTATTTTTTAAACTGTACATAAGTGGTTCATGCAGTCATTTGTATGAATGAGGTCTCTCATGATGTTAAACTATCACAGTCCATCCAAACAGTGGAATACTATATAGTCATTAAAAAGAACAAAACAGCTCTATATGCATGGACATGGGATGGATTTAAGGGGAAAAAACAACCAAAGTGAAGTGCAATGTGTTTAGTATGCTACTTTCTGGGTGAAATTTTAAAAAGACTATATCTGCCTCTATGTCTTTGTCTGCTTAGACTATCTCTAGAAAAATACCCAAGAATCAGGTAACAGGGAACTGGACAGTTGTTTCCCTTTTTGTACCTTATGGATTTCATACCATGTGTATATATTACCTATTCAAAAAATAAAGTAACTTAAAAAACTGTTTCACTTCTCATTCCCTGGAACACCTAAGATTTTTGGTCTGAAACCAATTTCTTGCCCACAAGAAATGCGAACCACAAGCCAACTTGATGCTCCTGGGGACCTCCAGCAAGTTGGGGACCCTCTCTGGTCCCGTTTCCTCTGCTGCAGAAGGAGGCCAGGCCTGTGCTCCCCTGAGGTCCTGTCGCTACCCAGTCCCTGCTGTCCTGTCTCCTCTCTCCCTCCCTTATCCTCCCCTCCCACCTCCCCCGCCCCGTTCGCTCTCTCATTGCCTCATTTCTCTCTACTCCCTTCTTTGACTCTTTCTCCTTTTATTTTCCTTTCTATTCCTCTGCAGTTCTGGCTGCCTTTCCCCTCTCTGCCCTTCCTTGCTCTCCCCATATTTGGCTTCTCTTCCTCTGCCTCTTTCCCCTGCCCTAGGATCCAGCCCTTCCTAGAGCCCCAGAAAGCAGGTTCATGCCCCAGCTCTCCAATCACAGGTTGTGTGACCCTGGGCGAGTCACTGACCTCTTGGGCCTCAGTGTAACAGATGGTTGTCCTGGTTACGTGAGACCACAAGGGTGGAAGCACTCAGCACAGTGCTGGGCACTCAGAAAATAATTTCCCCCCCTTTAAAAAATTTTTTTAATTTTTAAAATGTTTTATTTTTGGCTGTGTTGGGTCTTCGTTGCTGCGCTTGGGTTTTCTCTAGTTGTGGTGAGCAGGGGTTACTCTTCATTGCGGTGCGCAGGCTTCTCAATGCAGTGCAGAGCATGGGCTCTAGGCGCGCGGACTTCTAGAGCTGTGGCACGCAGGCTCAGTAGTTGTGGTGCACAGGCCTAGCTGATCTACGGCATGTGGGATCTTCCCGGACCAGGGCTCGAACCCATGTCCCCTGCATTGGCAGGCAGATTCTTAACCACTGTGCCACCAGGGAAGTCCCTGTTGACCCTTTTTAAGGAGCTGTTAGCCCTGGGGTTGTGGATTATCAAACCTTCTCGGCTCTGCTCAGAATTGCTTAGAATCTGGGTCCTACTATTCCAAAGGCTTAGGATAACATCAGGTCCCTAGGAATTCGAATCTCGGGAAGAGACCTCTGGTGCACTTTGGGAGGAGGGGCAGTGGGAGGAAGGATGGGAAGGACTTGCTGTGTGAATGGACACAGGATGCTGGAGCTGCACAGAAAGTGGGAGTCGGTTCTGCCCATTTCCATAGATTTGGGGTCCTGGGCCTTTTATGGGTTTCCTTACCCAGGCCCCTTGGGCTTGGCCAGACTTGGGACAGTGGACTCTCTTTCTTCTCCTGAGGCCCCTTGAGACTTAGGGCTCAGGAACACAGAGCCGACCTGGTCTGCTCCCTGTGTCCACAGAGGGCAGCACCACAGTCCCTGCTTATAACCAGCAAAGCCTACGCAGTACCCCCTGGATACCCACCGGGCTCCTGGGCTTGGGACTCAAGGCTGTTTGCCTTCCTGCCCTGTCTTGCTTCCAGCCACAAGGGGGGCAGCGCACTGTTCCCTTGTTCTCTCCCAACTCCTTGCCTTTGCTCAGGCTGGTCCCTCAGCCGGACATGCTCTCTCCCTCACACGCTTTCCTACCTGTGGCCCTGACCTGATTAACTGTTCACTAATGCACCTGGCACCTCTTGTGCCCCTGCCTCCCAGAAGGACCATGCCGTGCACACATGTGTGTTCTCTCTGCAGGCCTGTGAGCTCCTGGAGGCCCAGGGCATGCTTCCTACATGTCTGTGTCCCCTTGCCAGGCCAGCACATGGGAAACTCTCAATAAAAAGTTAGTGATTAGGGGCTTCCCTGGTGGCGCAGCGGTTAAGAATCCGCCTGCCAATGCAGGGGACAGGGGTTTGAGCCCTGGTCCGGGAAGATCCCACATGCCACGGAGCAACTGAGCCCATGTGCCACAACTACCGAGCCCGTGTGTCACAACTACCGAAGCCCACGCACCTAGAGCCCGCGCATAGCAACGAAGACCCAGTGAAACCAAAAATAAATAAATAAATTAATTTTTAAAAAAAGATTAAATGAATGAATACGTAGATAAATAAGCATATAAACGAAACAAACCAAGATAAGAATGAATGAATGGAAGAACGAATGAACACATCAAGCAAGACCTGGTTCTCATGCAGTAGAGCCATCCCCACACACAGCCAGTCAGCTGGGACTAGGCCTTCTTTTTCTTTTTTTCTTTTAATTAATTTATTTTATCTTTGGTTGTGTTGGGTCTTCATTGCTGTGCGAGGGCTTTCTCTGGTTGTGGTGAGCGGGGGCTACTCTTCGTTGCAGTGCGCGGGCTTCTCATTGCAGTGGCTTCTCTTGTTGCAGAGCACGGGCTCTAGGCCCATGGGCTTCAGTAGTTGTGGCGTGTGGGCTCAGCAGTTGTCGCTCGTGGGCTCTAGAGTGCAGGCTCAGTAGTTGTGGCACACGGGCCTAGTTGCTCTGTGGCATGTGGGATCTTCCCAGACCAGGGCTTGAACCAGTGTCTCCTGCATTGGCAGGCAAATTCTTAACCACTGCGCCACCAGGGAAGTCCCTAGGCCTTCTTGATGGGAAAGTGGGGACAGGGATGGAGCTGATGCCAAGTCAGCCTGCCTCTCCCCTCCTCTTGGGGAGGAACCTTGGTCAGGTACTTAGGGAGTCCTGAGGACCAGTGTTGAGGACCCCTTGGAGAGTCCCAAGTGTGGATGCAAAAAATCAGTGAAGATGTAGGTGAAATAGATCTAATGGCGAGCCCATACCTGTGAATCCCTGGTCTTTGCTGCAAGTAAAGAAACACTTGGGCGTCTGGGATTCCACTGACAGGAAGGAGGCTGGCTAGTCTTAGTGGGAAGGGGATATAAAGCAAAGGGTTAGACTACACAGGGGAGGAAACTGAATGCTCAAGAAGTTCTTCCCCAAGAGAAGAGGACTCACCAGAGATCAATGGATCAAAACATGTCTCTATTCATCCTTCTGCCCTCCAGACTAGATCAGGAATTCCCTGAAGGCAGGGATCTTGTCCAGTATCTTTCTCTTCTCCCAGCACTC